ACTAATCCCCCGGTTAAATCCACTGCACAGTCATTTAGGCTGGCTGGGATTTAGCAGGCACTGTCTGTTAATGCTGCAGAGATCGGTATTGTCTTTTTTGGGGGGTTGTTGTTTTCAAAGCAATAACCTGATGTGGCTTTCACATGATGGGCCCTGTGCCCGGGAGGGAGCAGAGCTTTCAGTGGGGTTTGGGGAAAGGATTTCACCCCAGCATGGATGGGCAGCATGGGATCCACCCTCAGCATCCATTCTTCCCCCTGTGCTCCCAGATAAATCAAAAAATCAGCTTCACAGGGGCAAAGGTTTGGGTGATTCCCAAGGATTTGGGTGATTTCCCTCTTTGGAAGCAAAGTTTGAGCAACTTCTCTCCTTCTCCAGCCCAGCCCGGGTTTCCCATTCTGACATCCCTGGGGCTGCCTCTTCCTCGGCCGCGACCGCTCGGTCCCTCGCTGCACGGAGAACTGCGTATCTGGGCAAAGCGTCCGTTTCCTGCTGCTTCCAATTTCTGCCCCTCGATAAGAAACCAAAGCAAAACCCTTCATGAAGCACCGACACCCCCCGGAGCGCTGGGGAAAAGGAGATAAATGGGAGCAGGGCAGCATTTGCCCCTGCTTTTCCGAGCCCTGGGACCCGCCGCAGATGGGAGCGTTCACAAGCAGCATGTTGAGAACATTGCTCCCTCCCGCGCATGGCGTTTCCTGGTGGTAAAGCGCTCCTCAGGAGCGACCGCGCAGCTTTATCCCTATTAAAGGGTCATTCGGGGAAAGTGTGATGGAAATTAGAAATTATTCAGGTCTGCCAACAGTATTTAACTTCCAAGCGGCTCTTAATTAGAAGCCGGGAGCCATTTATACAACCACTGAGATTTGCATAAGAATCTGCATATAAAACCCAGCTATGGGAAGATTTAGTGGTTGTTTTTTTTAGTGGCTGAGCAGCACAGCCCGGTTGGGAGCACAGGACAGGACCCTGGCTTGGTCCAGGCTCTCATGGTGATTTTAAGTGTGGCCTCAGGCAAGCGATTTCCTCTCCCATAGCTCCAGTTTTCCCATCTGTAAAGTGGGAACCAGCACCACCAGTAAGAAGAGTGAGAAACTCAGAGAAGAAAGCAGAGGCGTCCCTGCACCCGCAGGCCTGCTGCTCATCTGGGGACCGGGAGCTGCTCCCAAGTCACCCCCAAATCGGGGTTAGGGCAGGGTTTGTCTTCAGCCAAGAAACATGAGTAAAATACCTCTGGTTGCTCAGTCCCCGCTCTCAGCGCTGCTCTGCTGGGGGCTCGATGATGGGTTCCAGTTTCAGCTCCTTGCCCTTTTTCCTCCGGCTGGCGCTGGGTGCCCGGCAGCCCCAAAACATGGGTGCTCACCTCTGTACAGAGCGAGCGCGGGAAGTCACAGCAAGCTCCTGGTTGATGCTCCTTGCTGAAAGCTGTTGGCCAAAACCAGCCCCAAAACCTGAATTATTTTGTCGCTGCGCCCTCTAAACTGGCCTATTCCTGGGTTGCCAGAAATGCTTAACCAGATGGAAAAACACCCAACTCCTCACTGTTTCTCTGGTTAATCATTCCCCTGCCCAGCTCTTGCCTCCCTCTGCCCCCTGCCCAGGGGCCGCCTGGGTGTTCGCCCCCTCCGTTGACCATCGCCCTCCTCTGTCTTTGCTCGCAGCTAGACAAGGGGGACGTGACCGCGCTCAGCCTCCCCTCCAGCGCCGCGCACGGCGACGCCGATGGCACCGTCTGCCTGGACGTCCCCGACGGCACCCCCGACCCGCACAGGACCAAAGCCGCCATCGAGCACCTGCACCAGAAGATCCTGAAGATCACCGAGCAGATCAAGATCGAGCAGGAGGCTCGGGATGACAACGTGGCCGAGTACCTGAAGCTGGCCAACAACGCAGACAAGCAGCAAGCCTCCCGTATCAAGCAGGTTTTCGAGAAGAAGAACCAGAAGTCGGCGCAGACCATCGCGCAGCTGCACAAGAAGCTGGAGCACTACCACAAGAAGCTGAAGGAGATCGAGCAGAACGGCCCTTCCCGGCAGCCCAAGGATGTTTTCCGGGACATGCACCAGGGTCTTAAGGACGTGGGTGCCAACGTTCGCTCCAGCATCAGCGGTTTTGGCGGCGGCGTGGTGGAGGGCGTCAAGGGAGGGCTCTCGGGTCTGTCCCAGGCCACCCACACCGCCGTGGTCTCCAAGCCACGGGAGTTCGCCAGCCTCATCCGGAACAAGTTCGGCAGCGCGGACAACATCGCCCACCTGAAGGACACGTTGGACGATGGGCACCCTCAGGA